TGCCTGTCCTGGTTTCAATAATCCCATGCTGCGGTGGGAGGGGGGGGGAACTAAGGGACCCCAAAACTACATTTAGCCGGGAACTAGGGACTCAAGACCCAATACCCGATGGGGGCCTTGTCGATGAAGTCTGCACTTGAAGGTGCCATCAACGCCCACTCGTTAGCACCACAACCGCCGCTGGATCCCTCACGCAGATACCTGGAAGATTCGATGTTTCAGACATCGCTTCGGGTTTAAGCCTTCTTTGTTTCTGCGGCTTTGTAGATGTGGGGTTCAGGCGACTTGCTAATTCGAGCGTTGCAGGGACGGAAGCAAATGCCATCTCTCTTGGTTGCAAACATGACTTTGCTTTCTTTTAAGGCCTAAGGGCCATGACGTTCGAGGCTTCTTGCGGTTGCTGGAAGTTCCGGAAGCTGGGTGAGCAAGAATAAGGTCCATCTTTGCACAGAAAGCAAGCACCAAACCTCCAATGATCTTTAAGGCCTTCTGCTTTTCTGTTGAGGGACTTAGAGCTTGTCGGCTGTCGCTCTGGAAGGCTCATTTTTGGGTTGGAGTTTCATGGAGAATCGGAGATCCCTTTTGTGCTTTTGCTTTCTGAGTCCCGACACGGCGACAGGAGGAGCTTCCTAAACTGAAGAAACCAAGTTCGTGGCATGTGGTGTAGGAACTATGAGGGATATGAGGGAACCAGTTGACAATGACATCCAGAGAAACCGGCAGCCGCAAGCCCTGAATCCACAGCGTCCAAGCTACACCATGTCCTGCTGCGTGACGTGCTCGCGAAGGTACACGATGCCACCCAATACTGCGTCTCTGCCCAAGGGACAATACGTACCAGCAAGGTACCATTCGGAATGTGTCACTTTCATACCTGCAGCAACACGGCTTCTGAAGTTCTGATATTTTTGATACTACCATACAGCAGCTACCGTTGTTGTGACCCATTGTTGTGACCGCCCTATACTTGTTCTCATTAGAATGATTTCTGCCCACTGCTGCGAGCATGATGATCATAATATCGAAGTGAATCTTAAGTGCAAACTACGAACAGCACAATGTCTCCCTGATACCATCTGCTGAGCATGCGGTCATTTAGAGATTAAGGCTTGTGGCTTTAGGCCTTCGGATTTTGGGGTTGAGGGCTCGGAGTTTTAGGGATGCTTATATTTAGAGTTTAGGGTTTGGCATTTGGGGCCGGGCGTGTATGTGGCAGTGAGGACACACCCTGGGATCCTGGCCAGGTCGCGACGATGCAACGCGAACGAAGTGTGCGAGTAATGCTGGATCGTAGCAAGGACAAGTGTCTTCTGGGCCACAAGCATCCCATAGGTAGTGGCCCCAAGATATGAGCCCTGAACCCCTGAACCCCACATCCTAAAGCCGAGGCTTTGGCGGTTTTGGGGTTTAGTCCCCTTGCAGACGTGGAGCAGGTACCCTCGTTGGTGCAATTAGTGACCTTGGCGATGACCGTGACCGGGTTCCCGTCCGAGCGAGCATCATACCTGCAGGACGTGGCGACGATTTAGGGTTTAGGGGCTTGGGGTTTAGGGTTCCGGTGTTTGGGGTTTAAGGCTTCGGGGTTTAAAATTTAGGGTATAGGGCACAATGCAGGACGGAGGGCTTCGAGCCCTCTGCAGAGTTGGGGTGCCTGTCTCAAAGCGGACCTTAACCCCGACACCACTACACTTTGAACACGAACTCAACAGTCGCGAAGAGTAAACTCAAGACGCCGATCTGTGCCAAGAAGGGCTCAGGGAAAGAAGGCTTGATTCGGGCTTTTCGTGTGCGGGGGACAGATGCAAACCCCAGTTCCAAGCAACTCCTTGAGAAATCTGAGCCTCAATTGAGGAACCACAAAAGCGCTAAACCGCCACAAATCTGACATTAACTTCAAGTTTGAGGGTTCGGAGATCAGGAGCCCTAAACCCACAGCCCTACACCCCAAAACCCTAAACCCCACAGAAGCCGAGAAGAGCCCCGAGGAACCCCCAAAAAAACTCTAGGGTTGTAGGGTTGAGGGGTTCAGAAGCCCTTAGAGACTAACCCCAAAGTGCCCTGCCTCGTGCACTGGCCCTCAAACTTGTAGTTCGCGCAGGTTTCGTCTGCACGGCACTGGGATCTGCACTTGGCCTCCAGCTGGTCTAGGGTTTACGGTTTCGGGTTTAGGGTGTAGGGTTTAGGGTTTGGGGTTTACGGTTTCGGGTGAAAGGTTTGAACGGTTTAGGGTTTACGGTTTACGGTTTCGGGTGCAAGGCTTGAAGGGTTGAGGGTTCAGGGGATTGCCTATAGTCTCCATTGTAGTTCCTTTTTGGGGTTACCTTTTAGGATCCTTAGTACAGAACTGGTTAAACCAAAAAAGGAACTACAACGGAGACTATAGGTAGGGTCTGCATCAAACAGTCAGCAGATAGGCAAGCAGAGCAGAGCAGACAGAAAGTCCAATGGATCTAGGCTTTGGGATTTAGGGTTTGGGGTTCAAACTAAACACAAGCAAGGAACCTGAACGACTTCAGTAAAGCAAGATACCTTTAGTCGTGCTAACATCGTGTTAAGGGTTAAACCCTAAACCCTAAACCCGGGGTGTTGAGGCAGAGGGGCATCATAGGGGGCCTCAGAATTTCCTGCCTTCTTGCTTACGTTTCATGCTTACTCCCAAACCCGACAGCCCAAGACACCGATCCCTAAACCTGCACCCCAAAATCCTAAACCCTAAACCCAAAACACTGGAACTTCCTATACACGCTTCTGCCTAGGGCTTGGAACACGGTGGTCTATTTAAGCTTCTTTCCTGGTGATACCTTCGATTTTGGGGGGGGTCGGACCTCTACTTGTACTGTTGATGCATGCCCCCTAAACCCTAAACCCTAAACCTTTAGGGGTTTAGGGTTTAGGGCAAATCCTCAGAGCGCGACCAACAAAGGCCACGCTGCACTCGAACTAGGGCTCGAAAACTCGGTAGCTCACCTCGCCATCCAAAGCCGAAACTCCCTCAAGCCCTAAACCCTAAACCTCAAGCCCTCCTCCAACCGCCCTTCAAGCAAGCCCTAAACCCCTAAACTCTAAAGGATTCAGGTTTGGGGTTTAGGGAACTCAACAGTCGGGAAGACCTCCGTATCGGCGCTGGCATGAGGCAAGCCAGTGCCCTGTGGCAGCTCCCAAGGACTTTTCGTGCTTGCTTCTTTTGAGGCGGGGGCTCCAGGGCCTTACCTGTAGCCGGCAAGACCTACCTTTTTAGGGTTCCTTATTATGGTTTCCAATATATAGTTCCTTAAGAAGGTAGGTCTTTTCGGTTACAGGTAGGGCTTCGTAGGGCTTTGAAGGATTAGAGTCGTAAAATCGTAAAGCTTCGGGCTGTTTGGGTTTGGGGGTTCGGGGTTTGGGACTGTTGGACTTTAGGACTTTGAGGCTTTAGGCCTTTAGGGGTGTGGGGCTCAGAGGATGCCACATGGTCAGCCAGAAGGAAAGCCCTACTTGTGTGATAAGTTAGAGGTGTTTGCTTAGGGTTTAGGGTTTAGGGTTCAACGGTTCTTAAAGCTTTGAGGGTTTAGGGTTTTGACTGTGTTTACATTTATTTTCGAGTTTAGGACTTAGTGCTTTTGGTCCTTGTTCGGTGAATCTGATCTTGGGAAAGTTCCAGGCTGCCAAAACCCAAACACCTTAGTTTTCGTGTGCAGTGTTTTGGGTAGAATACCCAAGAAGGCATACTGCAAAGCGCACTCTTTGTGAACACAGTGCTGCCTGCTTAGTCCTTTGCCCTTGCCCTCTGCATCCTCAGCCTTTGAATCCTAAACCGTAAACCCTAAACCCTGAACTTCCCTGAGCCCTATAAACCCTGCCTGAGGCCCGAAGCCCTGCAGCCCCCAAGGCAGCCAGAAAGGAAAAAAAACCCAACCCTGCCACACTTACGCGCTGTAACAGCCTCTTGAAACTATACGACCTCAATCCCTGTCACGGTTCTACTGAGCCCTGCTTAGGCCAGCTGCAAGCAATGCTGGACGGCTCGATATATGCAGAGATGCCTTGATGTTCTGTGGAACCCAGCACACCGTATCTTGCACTACGATGGTCAGAGTCGTCTCCACCTCAGCAGCATTTCAGGCTTGAACTCTTCCGCGCAAGGGATTATAGGAATTTGGCTGTTGGGACCGTCTAAAGGGCGCTCGAGTTTGGGGTTGCTGACTTCCAAAACCCGGCATGGAAAATACTTACAGTCAGTGCGATGGCCTTATCGCGTCATGGCCTTATAGTCGAGCGGGCGGGGACGGATCGAAACCCGAGACCCTACATCCTGAACCCACTTGTTAAAGTGGACTGCCACAGAAACCGAAGATCAATCTGAAAGTGGTTGAGTGCTCTGGGCGTTTAGAGCTTGAGGGGCTCCGGGTTCAGGGTTTCAGGGTTTGGCTTTGTTTTCGTTCACAGGGTTCACAGTAGAAGCCAGAAAGTTGGAACATGATCTTCCGGATGGCTTTAAAGGTAAAGTATAAGGGAACCCTAACAGTAATCATCCTCTTTCTGGGGTTCACTATACCCTAAACCCCGCCCACCACCCCTCTCATTGTAGGTGAGTGGGCGCTCAGCGAGACCATGCAAGCCCGGGTGAGCGACCGGGCCTGCGACAGCAGTCGCCCAGCTTGGTCGCCAAGCACTGTCACTGCATTTATTTAGCGGGTTTGCATCCTCCCCTTACAAGCTTTGGGCCTCCAACTGGACCAGGAAAGGGGCCCCCAACCTTTCACGACTTGGGGCGGCCTCCGCCCCAACTTGAGGCAGCTTCCAACTGGACAGAGATGGGGCCCCCCAACGCTACACGACTTGAGGCGGCCTTTTTCTGGACAAGGATTGCCACCCGTTGCGATTTGAAGCGAGTTTAGGCCCTAGGCCTCCACTTGTTCCAAAAAAGTGGCGGGGATCCCTTGTCAAGAAGCCTCATATGAGGGCCGTAATAATCAACTCATCCAGAAAACCTTGTAAGACGCTGTAGAGAAAAGCTACAGGTAAAGAACCAAAATAAGCGACAGCAAACCTAGAACACCCCATCCCTAAACCCTAAACTCTAAACCCTAAATCCTAAAACTCAAAAAAAAAGCTACACAACCCAGGCGAACCCCATAAACCCTGGCAGCAGGGGTGCCGGAGGCAGATCTGGATCGGGAAAGAGGCCGAAGACCCGGCAGCCCAAAGTGAAGGCCTCTTTGGGAGCTTGGGCTTAAGGTTTTTAGGGTTTAGGGTTTAGGGCTTAGGGGCTTAAGGTTTAAGGCTTAGGCATTAGGATTTAGGGTGTCGCCCTGGCTTTAGTCTCCGGAACTTGGGGTTTAGCTTAGGCATTAGGACTTGGGTAGTTCTCTGAATTAGGGTCTCTTTTCGGGTCCTCTTTATAAGGGTGCCGTAGGACTTGGGTAGTTCTCTGAATTAGGGTCTCTTTTCGGGTCCTCTTTATAAGGGTGCCGTAGTTTTTTCGGGACCCAAAACGGGGACCCTACTTTCGAGAACTACCCATTTAGGGTTTCTCCCCTGGCTTTAGTCTCGGGATTTTGGGGTTAGGGTGGGTTTCAAGAATTAGGGGTTTGGGACTGAGGGGTTAGGGGATAGGGTTTCGGGGTTTAGGGCTTCAGGGGCTTAGGGTATCTTCCGGTTTGGGTTGGTTGGAGGAACCGGGGGTTTAGGGTTTGGGGGGGTTTCGGGATTTCGGGATAAGGGTTTGGGGGTGTTAGGGATTTCAGGGTTAGGGCTGCATGGTGGCTTTATCGGCTTGAGGTTTCAGGGTTTGCGGTTTCGGGGTTTAGGGGTGTCTCAGTTGCTTTACAGTGCCTTTCAATGGCGAGATGTTGTAGCAAGAGTTGGGTAAGAAGGTATGTTCTGATGGTAAGGGTTTGGAATAGGGTTTAGGGCTCCAGGGTTGGCGGTTTCGGGGCTTCAGGGCTCGGGCTTAGGGCTTTAGGGCTTAGGGCTTTAGGGCTTTAGGGCTTAGGGTTTTAGGCTTTTCGGGCTTAGGCTTTAGGGTTGAGGATGATATGCTTTGCCCCCGCAAAACCCTGGGGCTGCTGGACCTATCTCTTGAGGGGAGGTCCGGGCCCCGGCCCGAAAAACCGCGCCTACACTGTAGGGCTTAGGGGCTTGGGGCTTAGGGTTGAAGGTCTAGAGATTTGGGCTGAGGGTTTAGGGATTAGGGTTTAGGGTCTAGAGATTAGGTTTTAAGGTTCAGGTGCTTGGAGCTTAGGGTCCCCATTGAAGTTGTTTCTTCAGCTTCCCTCACCCTCCCCTCAATCTTCACCGTCGATTGAAATGTCTGCGGCCCACATTCATTTACCCTAAACCCACCCTGAACCCTAAACGCTAAACCCCAAGCCCCAAACCGTCTGCCTTGTGCTCCCCCAAACTTGTCGGCAAATCATGCAGGGTCTTGAGACCTAAAACCCCTACACTGATACACAATGTAGACACTCACCAATGTTCCCATGGAGCCCCACATACCCTCACCAAAACCACCCTAATCCCTAACCCTAAACCCAAACCCCTAAACCCTATCAGCCCTACTTGAAAGAAGCCTTGGGACACCCGACCCCTGAACTCTGAACCCTCTGAGGCCGTCTACTGTTCTACAGGTGCACCAGCACAGGGTTTGGGATTTAGGGTTTAGGGTTTAGGGTTTAGGGAGCAATCCGCAACCCTCTATCACCCTAAAGTCTGAGCCCTTCCCAAAGACTGTAGGCAGTTCTTGGAGTTTTTGGTGCCGGGTTGAGGGGATTCGGAGGAAGGAAGTCTTGCCTTCCGCTGCGATCCCGACACGCTGAGCGCATCGAACAGCTCACCTGAATGTCGTCTCACTCTCCTCTGCAACAGCCATGTGACATATATCCTGCTTTGACAGACCTACCGCTACCAAACCCCAAACCCCAACCCCTAAACCCTAAACCCCTAAACCCTAAACCCTAAACCCAAAACGCTTTTGCCATCTTTCTCTGTGTACTTTCGGCAGTTGTGGGTTCGGCCCAGGCTGAAGGCACATGATGTTGGAGCCCTCTACCTTCAAAGATCACCTCCTAAACCCTCAACCGCTTTAAGCAATGCCCGAGGCGCCCCTTCTTCCGACCGGTTTAGGGTTTAGGGTCTAGGGCTTATGATGATGAAGAGGCAGGCTTAACTGTAAAGCCGACAGCCCCAAATAGCAGAATCTTAGAACCCCGTAAGCCTCGAAACCCCTAACCCTTAAACCCGTAGACCACGAACACTGAACAAGCAGCATAAGCCTACCAGGTAGGACGTTGGCGTCAAAAGGTGTTTTGGTTCTCTTGTCATTCTCGAAATAGGGTCAAGCTGCAGGGTTATGGGGGGGGCTTAGTCTGCAGACTTAGTTTTGTGAGGGTTCCACACGTATCTTCAGCAAACTGACCATGCGAGGCCAGCAGAATCGGCATGCGAGCGTCCACAGTTCTCCCACGAACGGACCCAAGCTCCAAACCTCGTAACCCAATATAGGGGCCTTAATAATTAGAATAGGGTTTGGGGGCCCATGATACTATATTTATAATCAGAAACCCCCCCAAAAGAATAGCATAGGTAATTATTGAGACCCCTAGATTCTGCTCGAACTTCAATCTGCTTGGGTGACACCAGGATGCTGAGGGTGCCCGCTGGCGCCACAGTGATGGCTCCGTCCGGGCTGATGTCGAGGATCGGGTGGCCATCCAGAAGCCCTCGGATCCCCTACAATGTGGGAGTTAGGAAAAGGGGGGACCCTTGGGGATATAGACCCTCTCAATGAGGCCCCTTTTAAGAGAGCCACAAGTAGGGTTCAGAAGGGTCTCCCTGGTACTACCTAGGACAATGATGCCCGCCAGGTCTTGGACCATGAAGGTTTCGTGGTTCCTAGATTCTCGGGCTTGTCTCAGGGCCTCGGGCTTTCGCATTCCAAGGTCGGTGGGAAAAAAAATCCCGAAAAAAAGGTGTGCTCATGAGGTTCGGAGCTTGTGTCTCCGATTCTGCTTCGGTCATGCTCTCTGGCTGGCATATCGGTGCGTCTCCCCGCACTCTGCGAGGTTAACTTCATTCCTCAAAAAGACCCTAGTAGAAAACCTTCGGACGCTTGAGTTGAGGGCCGAGCTGTCACAAAACTAAGGCTGAGGGTATGCATGCACGGTGGTCTTCTAGGGCAAACAGGGAACGGGCATACTACAATACACTTAATCCTTGACGTAATGATGATTGAGCGAGAAGAGGTTGAAAGAGAATCCCATACCCTTGAGGGAGTCGTCAAAAGCAGTCTCGTTCGGTAGTGGTGATTAAAGGGGGCCTTGAGAGTCAGAGACGTGTTGTAGGCTATGCTACAGTCTATTCTGTTCAGAATCAGGAGCCCTAAGGAACGGATGTGTCTTCAGGCTGCGATGTTGCGGGAAAAACTCACGGATTGGTCTTCTTGCCTTGCACCCACAGTGAGAGCCGCTGTCGCGACCCTCCGTAACAGCAACAAGCCTCTAACAGTACATGTAGTAAAAAACAGCGTGGATCCCTAGAGCAGCAAAGCGGCCCATGTTCAAGATACGGTCGTAGGTGAACCTCGTCGAGCTTGCCGCGCCGCTGACGTCACAGGCCATGCTAAACGCCCTCAGCATTTCGTTGAGGCACAGCCACAAAGCCAATCAGGGCGTAGGACATGTGCGCGCGCGAGAACTTACTCACAGTCGACTGGGATCCGAGCTGAATCATCATGGGGGAAGGCGGGCAGGGTCACAGGATGACTTCATGGATTTCCAAACAAGAACCCCCGGCCCGGATCCTGAGTTCTAAGCCGCCCAAAAGCAAGACCCTAAACGAAAAATATGCGAAAAGTAATGATGAATAGATGTTCCGCCCGATCGTCGATAGTTTGCGCTAAGGGTTCAGCATTCAAGCTCAAAGCATTTACATGCACCCCAGAAAAGCTCGTCAAACCCCAGCGACTCCTGGAAGAGAATCCAACGAGACAATTATTACTCGTTTCACTGCGAAACCCTACAAACCCTAAAGGCCCTAAACCTTGAACCCGAGTAAAGGAGACTCACCTTGCATCATGCATGGCTTCCTCCTCACCTAGACTATACCCCAAAGTCGAGTCTACGTTTTCGTCGCCTAGAATAGTTGAAGGCCCACCATTTGCCTCTACCAGAAGGGGAACTTTAAGACCATCCCCCACTTGCCAGATGGTATATTCAGCCTTGAATTCTTGGTGCCAGGGTGCCATGGCTTCATGAGGCCCTGCTCCTTGTGCGGCTTGGGGTTAAGGGGGTGCAGGTCCTCACCGACACTCACGGCCACGGCATCCAAGTCATACCTTGGCTCTGGGCTCGGGTAGATGAGCATCCGTCATGATTCTGGTCTTAGGGCATTTTTAGGGTTTAGGGTTTTCGGTCTTGAAAGTTCTCATTCGGGGTTCAATGCCGACGTTGACGAAGTGTGGTGAGCGTGTACGACCAGATGCGCTGCACACCCCTACTCTACCACGCACGCTCTTCAGTTTACTTTCCGATTGCACGCATCGTTATTCGTATGGTCGGCCAGCTGCATGGCACCGACATGCACAAATCAACAGTTAAAACAACCCCAAACCTCGAAAGAAAATCCAGAAGCCCCAGATTTTTGTGTTTTCACATCCGGAACCTGGCCCCCTAAACATCATACCGAAACGTATACCTATACCTATACATAGACATAGACATAGACTTGGACCCAGACATATAAATAGACATATACGCTATACGCATACGTGTACATAATTAAACACATATATACATATACATAGACTGTGTTTATTTATCCATGGTCTACCTCAAACCATACAGCCCAAGCCCCAAAC